ATGCATGTACATGTTGTATCCAATGTTCAATTATACCTCTCCCTTCACCTACATGAACCCCATTTACCCAACGACCCTTACCGGACGTCTCGCCGACTCATCCATCAGTAGAACTTCCATGAGACACGGCAACGTTGCTCTCTCCGGCTTCACAAACACCATATCCACTTCAGTCGTGAAGTTTTCTTTCCCTTCAGAGTTCTGGCGAATTCTCGGTTCCCCATCCTTGGGACGCCATTGTAGACAAACCAGCTTCCTTGCCTACTCTGCGAATTTAGCGTCCAATCACGCTTTTCAAAATCTTCTCGTTTATTTCCTAATAGGTTGATTCGAACTTGAGCGAAATTCCAAGCACACCGAACATGCCGTCTTCACGTGAAGATGTCGTCTTCCAAGCTGTAACCAGAACATCCAGAACGTTGAGACCTCTAACCGGAAGAACGTTCAGAACCGTAAATACCACTTCTTAATCCTCTGGAGAAGGATTCCTCCCTCCTAGATGGAGGATGGCCGGCGTTAACCCTCAACTCTGCGTTCAAATTCCTGCCAAGAGAATTAAAAAAAAAAAAACAGAGACGATGTACAAAATCTCAAAGACAAGCTTGCAAGATATGACCAACAAGAAAGAGATTGTTACAAAGACAAAACACAAAGTGATTGTTGCGGAACAAAACACAAAGTTGGTCTTCTTTAAATTGTTCTTGCAAGTAATGAGAGTCTGGAAAAATGGTCATCAATAAGTATAAAGACAAAACCACTGTAGCCACTTGTTGAAAAATTGCCTACTCGATCAATAACATCACTCACCCAATAACAGGTACTTGACTGATATTATTGTACAAAAAGTTGTTGCTCAGTTCACCTGAAACCATGAGTTGAGCAACCATGGAAACACGTCAACCTTCTTTGGAATATCATTATCTGCTATAACAAATTCTATACATGTGCACCGACTTAAAATTACCTAACAAGTACCGAAATAAAAAAATTATATAGTGGGATATTATTTACTTGTCTCCTATTTGAAA